AATCCAATGCCCCAAGAGGTGCGCGCGATTGCGGCATCGGCCACCGCTGTTGTTTTCGGTTGTTTAACAAAAGCTTTTGGAAACAAGAAGCGGCGCAGCTCTACGGCAACGCCGGCTCGGTGACTCGATAGCTTCATGCCTCCGGTACGGTCGCAAAATTTGGTCGCGAATGTAGGTCGAAATTCTTTAGTCACGATTTCCGAAAAAAAAAAAAAGAAAAGAAAAAAAAAAAGGTCGACATATATTTGAATAAACACGGTAGTCAGCTGCGCGACGAGACACACATTATGAAAGCGATTGGTGCGAGCGATCAAGGTGATGAGCGACGTTTTCTAGAAGCCCAGGAACCGAGCGGCGCAAGCAGCGAGAGTGAGAAATCTTCGTCGCTCGGCGCCGGCACTCGTAGCTTCTCGTCGTCGCTCGTCTCGTTGATCGCTATATTGCTTACATGCTGTTCAGAAAGGTGCTCTAAGTGGTTACCATTGCATTGGGACCAGCCTCGCATTCAACCGTAACCAGTCTTGACTTTTTTTTAAGCCGCCCGGGTAGAAGTTAACATCGTACATACATCGTTTTCAAGCATGGCTCCTCGTTCATTGCTCGATTTACTTTTTCGTAAATGACAAACCGCAATGAAGCACAATTATTCTAGTTCAAAATTGTCACGAACACTTGGCACGCATGCTTACACTGTAGCGCACCTAACTTAATTTAAAAGTAGAACGAAAACGGGACGAGATTCGCTTACCGCTTCACGGAAACAGAGTCCTTCGGATCCTAGGCCTAACGGCCGAAATCGGAAGTCGCCTGCGGTCCGGCGATCGGACGAGTTGAGCCGGCCGCGCTGTGCTGACCCCGGCTGACCAGGCCTGGTTGAACCATGTGAGGCGTCGTCGAGTTGAGAGCCAGAGACGCAGTAGAAACGGACCGTAAAACATGTCCCGTAAAACGCAGAAGGAGCCAGCGCCAAAACCGCTACGTCTGGCTGCGTCGCCATCTCCGCGACGACCGGAAGTGTGTAAACCGGGACTGGCCGGGAAGTTAGAAAAGGCGCGGCAGCGGAAGCCACTGGGCGGAAGCTTTACGTTTCGGTTTCGCTTTTCTCCGACATCGGCCACGGTCGCGGGCTGGTATGTTTGCGGCTGGTTGCGACGACGCGAGGGGCCACGAAAAGACGCCGAGTTGGCCGAGTACGAGTCACGGCCCACGGTACGAGCAACGGGCCATTTGCCCCTGTCGACCGGCGATGCGGTATCCGCGGCTTAGTGTCACGATCGGTTTGTTGCCGTGTACGTTGACTCAAAGCTCGAAGTTATGCAGTTCCGTCAGTTCCGTTCCGGCACCAGCCGCACCACGTTTTCCGGTGCATCGCACGTGGAGGCCTTTCGACGCATTCAGTGAACGTAAAGATCGCGCCCGCTGTCTTCGGTGCTGTGGAAGAAGTTGGGAGACGGAAGAAGCATCAAAACCAAGGCGTTTAGGACTCCAGTCCGGGCCGCCGGTCCACTCTGAACGAGAGGCGACGTGTGTGTGCACGCTTTGAGGAAGCCTCCACGTTTCGCCGCGCCAGACCTCGCCGATCGCGACCAGACCCCGAGTCCGAGAGGCTCTTGCGCAGCCAGGAACGGCAGCGAGGTAGGAGCTGCTCGTTCTGCGCAACCATGCAGTGCTCTACAGTGATCGGAGCTCTCGGTGTCATGCGTGCTTGCACCGAAGCCTTTGTGACCCCTTCGGACGCGCAAGTCGTACTTCGCAAAGGTTTGGACGGGGCCGCCCTCACCGAGCAGCTCCGCTAAATTCCGCTTACTTATGATCGCAATAAAAGCTTGCGTTTGTTCTCGGGAAAAAAATTGCGGGACCGCTCTCCGCGCCGCCGACGAGGTTGGCCGCCACCATGTTCTCAGCTGTTCACTCGCTCCCGCAGCGAGCGCCTTCCGATAATCCTCCCCGTTCCAAAATGCGATGCGATCTTCGTTTACATGGGCTGAATGAATGCGCACTCGCCATCTCGATCCACCTCTGTCTAGCGACTTTAATGCGATGCGCTTTGCGCATTATGCCGTTTACATGACCGCATATTGAATGCGGCAACTGGATTCAATGCGGCTAAGTCGCATTCATGTAAACGCGGCTTATGTTATTTTTCGACATGTATGATGTATGTAACGATACCGGTGGTAAACGATGGACGTTTTTGTTGGAAGATGGCGGTCGTCTTTCTGCATGTATGGTTTAGTTATACCGGTGGTCTTGTGGTATAGGCGTTTCGTTGGAAAGATGGCGGTCGCCTACGTCATCGGACGCAAAATCATACCAGCCATACCGAGTCATATCGGCGAGCAAACCGGCTGCCAGTATAGACAGACCCGGAGCCATAGCGGTGCCGGTATCTCCAGTTATGGAGAACGCAAAACCAAACTAGCTGCATGTATAATAACAATAAATTATGATGGTGTCATACCAGGACTGTACAAGCAGCAGGTTTGTTTCTTGTACGTTTTTCCAATAGGGATGACAGATGGCATTGATAAGGCTCACCTGTGATCCCTACACAACAGGGTTGCATTACCCTGGAAAACATTACTTTTTCTTCTTTTCCTATGCACTACCGGTGAAAGCCCCTTCACAGATTCTTACTGCATAGGAGCATAATGCTGCATGAAAACCTGACCTTGACTGATTTAACAAAATTCTCAGTTGAATGAAACGATGTAGGCTCCCCTAAACTTAGCTAGGTAGAGATTATATAGAAATTATTTAGCTGTACTCAAATTAGAAATATGGATAGACCTGCTTAAAAGTGCACAAAAGGGGTGTCTGAGATCATCTGTTCTTGGTCATAACTCAATTAGGGTGTCCAGCAAATTATTCTTTCGAAATCCCTTGACTTTTCCAGGTTTTCCCTGACAACTTCAGGTGAAATTCTGACCACTGTAGAGGCGGTTTAATATATAAGACCATTACAACACAAGGCATTAAGCAGTATGAGGATCATTTTGCATGCGCTTAATCCAACTTGCATATTCCGAAATATTCAGGTTCGTTCAGTCTGGATTAAACGAGCACTCTCTTGCCCCCGACATCGTTAGTGAAGAGGCCACTTCCAAAAACACGATGAAAACAACGCTCAACAAAGCATGTCAATAACCGAATGGCAATATGGCACCCAGATGCACACTTTCGGCTAATTTCGGCTTAAGGCTTGGATTGAAGTCTGCGGCTTTTCCATTTGTTGCTAAATATAGTAGCTCTAACTGGATCCAGCCTAGTGTTGTGTCCTCAATCCAATCCAAGGCTTGTACTGGATTTGTCGGCTGTTCTCTTTGCACCGGGTAGCACACTCTACATCGCATGAGCAGAGCCCGCGCTCCGCTCTAAGCAGAATTTATTGCCCATTTTTCTGCTCCTAAAGCGCGAAACCACCTGATCCGACGTGCAACTACCGGAATGACCTTCGGAGGCGAGGGTTTTCGTAGCACCGGAGAGCGTTGAAAACCCTCGCATTGCCTGATCGGACGTCGGATCGGACGGTTTTGTCGTACATGTGTTTCGCGTTTAAGTCCTCAAGTCTTTGCTCGGGGCACTCGATGGCGTTTCCGGCTCACTTTCTTTGACAGGGAAAATGACAATATCCCTGACTTTCCCCGGTAATTAAAATTTCCCCGACAATTCTCTGTTTTCCAGGTTGCTAAACACCCTGTGAATCTACGGGCTCTAAGCATCCTAAAAATAAAATTATGCTCATGCAGTGCTTATTTCACTACTAAAAATGGGATCTAAGATCGGGTATGCCCCTTTGTGAGCGGAAATTTTCGCGCCAGCGGCATATAATTTAGCCAAGGCGACGACGGGGTGCCTTCCCGAGAGCAGATGCTTCGTCTGCTCTCGGAAACGCGGCTAGCGATTGGCTGACGAGTGCCTCTCATCACCCGCCATCACCTCGGCAGGATTATGCTCTGCCCTACTCCTGCAGAAAGTTCCACTCAGAAAGAGGCGCGCCCAATCTCAAATCAAATATTTAGAAGGGAAATAAGCGTTGCAAAAGTCCAAATATTTTTGGACTTCTAAGGTGCGTAAGAGATTGTAGAATGAGTTATCACCAAGAACAGGTGGCCTCAAAAACCTCTTTAGTGCACCTTTAACATGGTGTATTTACTTGAAACAGGCAGTTTACGGTTGTGTCCGAAAGCTTACTCGACCCAACTCCTGCTCATAGCATTTAAACACCTGCCCAAGTTCAGCGTCCATCTATCAGTGTTGTAACATGACAGGATCCGTGTAACTCGGACCCAAATGAGTATTTGAAACACAGTACAAGGCGAAGTGCTCCTTGAAACAATGGAATCAAGGAGAGTGAATCACTAGAATGCTTATAAGCTGTGTAAGTATAAGTGAAAGTATAAGCTCCAGCTGCACACTGTTTTATCCCACTGGCTTACAGCAATGACGGGCACTCTGACATCAGTACTCAAACTGTTCCAAACACAGCAAAGAAAATGGAGTTATCATGAAGCAATTATTTTGTTTTAATTGCTTGATGCACCACCACCACAAGCTATTTTGACAGATGAGCCAGCTTGACACTAATGCTGTCAGACTGGATTTGCAACATCATTCAGATGCAACTATACATAAGCATACTTTGTAGATTGTTTTCTAGATATAGGCCTACAATGGGTTCACGCGAGGACAGACAAGAGGGCAGACAAAACGTGTCATGACGTCAATCTGTTTCCTTTTTGTAATCCTGTTTCCCTTGACTTGGGATTGCTTTAATCATGATATGATCGTTCACCAGCTCGCCCACGCTTTACCACTCACTACGGTAAACATAGAGGCTGTTTCACCTAATATTGAAGAAAAGAAAGTTTAAAAAAATGATGTAAAGAACAGGCCAACAGCATTTTGAACAGAACGCAGAAAGAAAGTCAGGGACCAGAGAAGTGCTATAAACCTTTCCAGTATCAGATACAAAAAAATAAATAAAGATAGATGTTTACCTCGACAGTTTTTGATGTCCCCTTCAATGCCCCTCTCGACGCTCCTTTCGATGTTCCTTTTGACATTGCAGCATCCTCATCACTCGTGTCGAGCAACATCGACTCCAGCAGCTCCTCGAGATCTCTGCGCACCGCTAAGAAGGATAAACACATATTATGGGTTACTTCTGAAACAACCCTTACTCCTTCCTAGGAGGGGTGTACCATATTTATATTAATTGTCTACCGCATGCACCGGCCACTTCGATGTAGATAGACATATTCATCGTCTTGAAATGTGATTCCTGGAGTCAAATGCACTTGAGCCACCGGTGTGGCAAGCCTTCCATGAATCACCATAGCCACAATTTGGAAGTGTGCTGCACCCCCACGTGGAAAGCTAATTCCAGGTGATCAATGACTGCAAAATGACACCTTCACATTGCTTTCTGAATACGGAGGGCATTATCCTTATTAACCTGCTAGAACCGGCAACCACCATCAACATAGCCGGATATGTGGCTACTCTCAGGAGACTGTGTTGCGCCATTCAAAGGCAGTCAAGAAAAATGGGCGATCTTGAGCATGACACTGCCCAACCCCACACAACCAAGGAAACAATAGGGGCAATCACCACGTTGGTATTTTCATGTCTGCTACACCGACCGCACTTGCCCAACTTAGTCCCCACTAACTATCCTCTATCTGGTGCCATGAAAGAAAAACCACAAGAACTCCATTTCATGAATATTGACAAAATGGAAACAGCTGTCTAGGCATGAGGGCAAAACATTCCGAAAGGGTGGTTCTGGCATGGAATCGCAAGGCTGCCACATCGTTAAAATAAGCACATTTGTCTCTATGGAGGCTATGTCGAAAAAGTCAAAATGCCTACCGGCTGCTAAGTATGTGTGTTACCTGGAGAAAAAAAAATCCTAAATCAATCTGCCATGCACCTCATATACATGGCTTGCACGCGACATCACTCTGCAGTGCTGGTGATGTCGCCCGCCCAGCTGATCGTCTATCTGTGTGATGTCCTAGTGTCAGTATAAATAACCACCCTGGCAGGTGGTTATTCCTACTTATTTCCAACTTGAAGGTACAAGTTTCCACTGAAATAAGTTTCACCGACACATGTTTCGTCTACAAAAATATTTTCTTTCGCTATATGGATTGGACTGCATTATGTGATTCATTTAGCTTGCTGGAAGTTTAGAGGAATGCTGTCTGTAGGCCGCGACAACCTAGGCTTCCAAACCGTGCTGTACGTGATCACCCTTGCCGTCCGTCGGGGAATATAGTTACAATATCAAGGATCGAGCGTGCATCGCCAAGAGTTCAGCAAGCTAGGCTATGAAGTAGCCAGAAGGCCTAAATCTAGAGGCACACAGGCCAGCCCATGTACAGTGGCCCAAGTTTCTAATAATATCAAGCAAGCGTCGACAGCTGGGCCAGCCAGCACTGTGCTACGGAGGGGTGCGGCGATACGGGAGAGATTAGGCACGTGCTCACAAAGCTCTATCCAGTGACAGCGTCGTCTGCTAAGCTATTCTGTTTACCGCACACATCCCAGGTGCTCATCTGCTGGCAGAGAAAACCGCTTTTACGCAAAGATCTCAACACAGCTTGCTTATCACTCGCTTTTGTTTGTTTTTTTTTTCTTTTTCGGTCACACTAAATAGCAGCTGGCAGCAAATTCGAACACAAGACAACACAACCAGACCGCAGAGAGAAAATATTGTCATTGCGCCACTGTTTATGCCGCGCAAGACAAGTATCACACCAGCGCGCGCTCTTCAGACATTTGCTCTACGAACCGATAAAAGAAGCAGAGAGAAAGAGAGATCAAGAGAAGTGGGCATTGGATAATCAATGATGTCATGTCAATCAGCGCCCTGCACTCCTTTGCTACGGAAAAGGGGCTGTGCGCGGTCAACGGAATAGCCTAGCAGATGAGAAGATGACGCTCGCACCGGAAAGTGCTTTGTGCGCAGGCGCATAATCTCGCCCGTATCGCTACACCCCTCCGCGGCATGGCACTGGCCGGCCCGGCGATCGAAGTTCGCTTGATATTATTTAAAAAATTGGGCCGCTGTACATTGCTGAAGTCATTAGGCACTGCAGATAACGAAAAAATGCTGCCGGCAAAACGGACATGCGACTGTTTCAACAAAACGATTCGTCAATCAAACGTAGCAGTGTCGGTGAAACATTCTATGAACTGATTGCTACCAGGCTTGCACACATCACTCAGACTATATTTTCAACAAGTTCCTGCTGCTTGCTCTAAATAACACCTACAGTGCTAACAAAGCACTGCTGAAGTCAGGGTACTAACAACAATCATGGCAATGAAGCTGCATTCACACTGGCATTTGAATCGCAACCGCAAAGCTGATCTGCTTACTTAAGTCACCAAATGCACGTGAAATTGGACTGCACCATTAAGCTACCCCGTACGCAACCGCTTTAGGATCGCGATTCAACCACCAGTGTGAATGCAGCGCGAGTCAAGTACATGTTTTCGCGGAAGAAATATCCGTTGCAATGCACAGAGCACGCGCTAGCTCGCACTCCTAGCCTTCGTTGGTACTAATAAGTTACGTCCAAAGCGCTGCATTCCTAGGCAAGAGAGAGCGGGGGGTTACGGGGTTTCAGTGCTCCGCCCGCCGGATGTACCCGCCCACAGGCGTTCTTTGTAGTAGCCATGCCGTAGACATGCCAGGCATGTCTAGCTAACGGCTTGAGACTCTCATGCGCTACAGTGCAAGGAAAAAGAAAGGTCGTGAAACAAGTTACAACACGATTTGATGGCATCACTCAAACAGACGCGTAGTATATACAGATGTAGGCACCCTGGTGACACCCGATTCGAAGGAGGCGTTGTAATATCTGCCCTGGAAAGTTTACCCAAAATCAATACTTACGGCTCAACTTGACGAGTTGTGCGGCCAGCACTTGGCTCGTACCAGTCGCACGCTTGTTGTGGTCTTGATCGGGCCACACGACCTTAACCCAGTTATTTTTCTGAGTTGGCCCGCGGTACTCAGGCCAAGTCTTTGAGTTATGTTTGGTCACTGGGTCGAAGTTTTTGATATATGACACGGACTCGACAGCGAGGGATTCGTCCGTAAACCTGAACAAGGCAAATTTGTCCATACCGTTGCGGAAGTTCAAACAAAGCACGTGCGAACAGTAGCTCCTGAAACGCAATTAATTGGATTGGATTGGATTTGGCTACTGCACCACCCTCTGACAACTGGCTACAACGCTGCAACCCAAAACTGGCTAAAACCCGAGACCAAAACCTCTTTTATTTTTTTTTCGTTTTTTTTTCTTATGTTGGCTCGGATGGCTCGTAAAAATGGATTGCAATTAATGTGACGATATCGTTTCGCCGACATACGTTGCGTGGACAACCTTCCATCGAAACACGTTTCATCAAAACACGTTTATCGAAACACGTGTTATCACCACAACACCTTTTGTTGTCACTGACGGCACTGACGGTTCGTGAAAATTCGTCTTGTAAACCTCACACTCTTGCTACGTTACGTCGACAAAGTATTTAATTATGTAGATTGGATTTGGGTGACTATCTTCACTTCGCTCGCTGGAAGTGTATCGGAAATGCTGACGACATGAACTGTGTTCGGGCTGCTGCAGAAGCCCGATATCGCCTTGATCACTGTTGACACGGTTTAAACGCATTTGTTTGAACACACATACCGTAATTAACACGAGCTCGTTTCGATGAAAAGATTTGTTGACAAAACGATCTGTCGGTGAAACGTCGTACGACGAACTGAGTGACACCGATATAACTACCAGTTTTATTTTCGTAGCACGGGCGGCATAGATTGCTCCTGTAGGCTTGAACATCGCAATCACTTTGTAAAAAACATGCACGAGTTGCTCGTTGATAAGCAAACGACACTTCTAAGGATTAGGCTTGCTTTTGCGCTAAATCCGGTTGGGGAATGCCGTTCGTTAATAGTGTTCGAACAAAAAGTCATGGACTGGCGTCCATCCTGCGGCAAATCGTTCGCAAGGACGGCACGCCGGTTAACGCTAACATATGGGCATGATAGAGATACCACAACATTCGGATTCGCACTAACTTTATTAACGTGCCGACCACCAACGTGACCAACGCTGGTGCCAACTAACACGACAGAAGGTGCGAAGGCAGGCGAATTTTTCCACTGTAGAAACACCGCGATCAGCACCCAGATATGTTTATGGTGTGTGAAATATATTTCCAGGATAGATTTCGAATCTGGATTGATACATATTTACAACGTATGAAGCAATGAGGTGTCGATCAGGACGTACGCTCTTTTATGAAATGCGCACAGCAATGCTGATATGGGCTAGCTGTAGCAACCGGGAGGGGCTAGCTGAGGGGCTGTACCATGTGTATCACTTTTTCAGGGTTCTCGACACCATGTCTTCCAACGTTTTCTTACGTTACGTTACGATTACAAGTGCACCCCGATATTTGCTTCGTGCCGTCTCTTTGAACTGATTTCATTGCCATGAGGCATAAGCATGGATTTTGAATGTCATTGCAGTGACCCGTGGTGTTCTTTCTTTGTGTAAGTGAACTTTCGAGGTGTGTCTGTTCTTGTGCGCTGTGAAGTGTAAGCGTGTATCGACATATGCTCTCCGTAACGTAACGTAAAGTAGGAAAAGCTGCTGCGTGACACAAACCTTATGTGGTTTATCTGAGGAGCTTGTGAGACAAGATCATTAAATCCTGATTCACGCAGCAACTTATCTTATGGATATCTTGTAAACCCTGAGATGGGGAACGATAAAAAAACGGACGAACACAACAAAATGTGAACGTAAGCTACGTTACGGTAGCTTCCGTTCAGATACAACCGACTAGCCGCGAAATCCGGATGAAGCTTTAGGTGGCATGCGAAGCACGAATGCTGATGTGACTCGTGTTCGCAACGTACGAGAGCATTCCTGTGTGTAGCTCGGGGTTCAACTGTGGGTAGCCGACGGACGATATCAGGGGTAATAGAAAACGAGACCGACGGGTTAAGTTAGTTGCCGATCTGCCTGCTGCTTCCAATCTGCACGAGGGTGGGTAGTCCTAGGGCCACTCGATCTATATGGCACCTGGCTCAAGGTAGTCCCTACCCCACCTTTCTCTACCTTGACGATAGCTGGGGTGCCTGGGGCACAAGGCCTAAACACTCGCTTGCAAATCCTAGACCTTGTTCTAAATAAACCCCAAGAATAAAACCAAATTTTGCTGGCAAGACTAAACACTCTCATCAGGTGGCGCTAGCTACCACTACATTTTAGTGACACAGTCGTATTATGGATCTATCTATTGATCACGTCTACAACAACAACCCAGCTGCCCAGCTGCCACCGTCAGGTTGCATGAGCTTTTTTTTGCAGGTGTAGGCAGCGTGGCAGAAACGCTCCTGTTTGTTTAACGGTACCAGGTACAGGATACAGCTCCGTACTGCTGTACCCTGTCGCCGCCGTGGCGAAGGGAAGGACGCGCGGCCATGCCTTCAAGGTACAAACGACACCTCGAGCAGGATGTGCCCGTGCACGAAAGAACAGCAAATCGACAAAAACTGCACATGTCTGCTGCTGGGGCCTCCGCTGCTGGGGCCTCCACAGCCAGCGCCTTCCCTGTGGTTGAAGACTGTGATGTCGCCGACTCCTCGCAATATGACGAGGTTACGGAAGGCGATATTTCTACCGGCGACCTAGGGGTACACACCGGAGAGGTAAATAAATTTAGTTTATTTTGTTGCTGTAACTAACCTGCATTTAGACAGCTTGAATGCATGACTGTTTACACTGTAGAGGGGAATCGGTTTGCGAGTGGGCTAAGGGCGCATTCACACTGGAAGCGGATTCGCTTTCGCAAAGTGCTTGCGAACGCGGATCCGCTTCCAGTGTGAATGCGCCATAGGGGCTAGCGCACACCAGCTCGGAGCACGTGGAGCGAAAGCTCGCGCTGCAGAACTCAGAGATCCTGTGTTCAATCCCCACCCCTGCCCGTTTCGATCTGGATGAGCATCGTACCGGCGTGCGGTCGTGTACCACTTCTGCGTGGTGCACATTAAAGACCCCAGGCTAGCGGTTGTACTGCACTGGCTAAATTTCTCATCTACAGCAAGTGACTGGTCGCATTTTTGAGATGGCTGACGTACTATGCGCTGTCTAAATATCCCCACAACCTCAATTATTATCTACATTGTAGATGAGCAATTTAACCAGCCCAGTAAAACCACTAGCCTGGTGTCTTTAAAGGGCAGCTCCGTCGTAACTTTGAGAGGCGCCACTTTTTAACAACTTTTCACCACACATTTCTGGGGCACTCCTGAACATGCCAATGATATATCTCGTCAAAATATAAATTTTATTAGTAGAAAATTTAATTTATTTACGCGTACATGCCGAAATCACTGCCAGCTGCTCAAATGACGACGCTAAGCAAGAGCAGCTCAAGATAATTAACGCAATTAGCACAACTGGGGAGACAGGGAGGACAGAGGAAAATTGGGACTCCCACCCACGTGGCTCCGGCCCAAAGTCTCAACCCTGTCTCCAATGGGTCTGGTTTTGGAGTACCGACAAATAGGGAGTGTTTTATATTTATCTTTTTCTTTTGTTTTGCTCCCCTGAAGGCCATTCTGGTGGTTATTTTCATCGGCCCAGTGATAGTTGCAAAAATGTACAAGGTGTAACAAAAAAAAAATATTACAGTGTTTTTTTTTACCGCAAAATTAAACCGAATCGCCGAACGCTGATTCTCCGCCCAAAGGTAGCGCTAAAGGTCACAACCAGATGCCAAAGTTTCAGCCCGATCCGATACCTTAATCAAAAGTTATAAGTGATTTTCTGAAAATTTCAATGGGAAAATGGAGCCCATTTTCTCCCGTTTTCGGTTTCTGGTGCCATAGAGCCCCATGTATTCCAAAACTCTGTGGGCCGCCATTTTCCCATTTAAATTTTTAGAAAATCACCTATACTTTTGGTTAAGGTATCGGACCGGGCTGGAACTTTGGCATCTGGTTGTGACCTCTAGGGCTACCTTTGGGCTTAGAATGAGCGTTCAGCAGTGCCTAGTTTATTTTTGCGGTAAAAAAGAACTTGTAATTTTTTTTGTGACACAGAGGGAAAGAATTTGAGGGAGGGAGGTTATGAAGATTGTTTAGGCTAGGTGGCGCAAGCTACTGCTTGTTACAAAGGGTATACATCCGCTAACATCCATCCATCCAGGGGGCCGCCCCATGGTTGTGGAAAAGTGTAGCACGGCGCAGGGAAGTGCAGGGAAGTTACTTCCGGTGTGTGTTTCAAGATAGATGGCACTCCCGAATCGAATACGACGATGTAGACCGAGCGCACAGGTGCAGGAAGTGTAGGTATATCAAACGCAGCTTAATTTGTGTCATAGAATCGGCTATTGTTAATAATAGCAGGAAATGTCTCTCTCTTTGTGCACATTAGCAGAGCAGACGCTGGAGAGGAAGAATGGAAAGAAGGAAACCACCAATCTTGGCGAGGAGTGGTGCTTCCCTCCTCTTTACTCTCCTGCGATTCTTAAACTGCAGCAGACTATAACAGCTGCCTCAATCGGGGCTTCTGCCGCAAGTGTGTGCACATGAACTGCGCGTTCACGAAGCTGAAGCCGCGGCACGAACACAATGCAGCAGCTGTGTTCAATGTACCTACACCTCCTGCACCGGTGCATTCGGTCTACACCTATGTTTGATTTGCAAGTGCTGCCTATCTTGAAACACACTGGAAGTACACTTTCTTGCACTTCCTGCACTGCGCTACACTTTTCTGCACCGCTGCAGGTAGATCGAATGTACCTGTGTTCTGATATTGGGCGAGTCAAGCTCAAACTCCACATGTGTGAATGTTTATACATGTTAGCAGTTACGGTCCCTGGGCGCCGCCATCGTGTTAATTTGGCATGTGCTATGGCGTGACCATAATCTGATTACGACTCCCTAGCAAGGCGTCTCAATCGAATAATGGCCTAGCCCTTGTGCACCCCAAATGAGCAAGATGGCGGCTCCCAGAGTCCATATCTACAAACGTGTATACCATATGTGATGTCACAATAAAATGAAGTGCCAGTCAAGTAGCAAATTAGTTTCGGGTTTTTTTAATTTTGACGATTATAGATTATCTAACCAGTTTTTTAATGATTGAACAACTTCTCTCGGCTCAGTTTTCGGTGCTTTTTCAGAAAATGTGTTAAGTTAAAAATGCTCAAATTGATAGCGGAGGTTTTCTTTAACGTGCACCACACAAGTAGTAGTACACGAATGTGTGCCGGCACGATGCTCATCCAGATCGAAACACGTAAGGATAGGGATTGAAAATTTGTAAGTGTTGCACTTTGCGGCTTCTGCAGCAGCAAAAGAGCGATTGATTGGGTCACATACTGTGTGAGCGTGACAAGACATGCTGCACGAGACCACAACAGGCGAAGCACGAAAAGGACAACAGAGGGACCTCTGTTGTCCTTGTGATTTGATTTACGATCGGGACACGCTCTATTTTGCGCGGAAAGTTCCGCCCAGGAAGGAGCGTGTCAAAATTGTAGATACCATTTTTAGTAGGAAAAGGAGCATTGCATGAGCGTAATTTTTGAGTTTTTACGATGCTTAGAGCCTGTAGAATGACTTATCACCAGAGCAGTGAATCTCGATAACGTCTTTAGTGCACCTTTGAGTGTTGTTATTCTTTGACTATCAGAAATCCTTCTTTACACACTAAACAATCGACAACCGGTTTTTCCATTGAAATTTCAACTCGTTCTGTTGCGGTACGCAAAATGACGACCACCAGTGAAGAAAGATGCACTCAAAAGAAACAGATCTGCTACTGCAATTAATCCTCACTATCTTTCAGTTGTTGAGGAACAGTAACCAAAATATTGACCGACTATGGACTCGGCAACAGATGAAAAATTTCTCATTGTTCGATAATGCTCACCCAGCAAAACTATGTGGAATCACATCCAATAAGCAGTCGAGAATGCTCTCACTCTCTTCCTTCACCAAAATCTGATCCCAGGGGATATATGTTCTTGCAGTGTTGTTTACACTTACATGTTGTGTTAATTGTTTTTGTTACAATTACTAGGTTCATGGATGGAACCTTGCCATAGCTCACTGTGTGGCAGATAAGTCAGCTGATGTTAGTTTGATTTTTTAATTACAGAATGCCCACGGCACTGAACAAGAAATGCTGCTAGAAGAGCCTCAGGATTCATGCCAGGTACAAAAGCGGGAGTCATTGCAAAAATGCTCCACAAGCTGGGACTCTTCGACGTAACTGTATCGCGAAACAGCACTGGCCATATTCGCCCTTTTTTTGTTTGACTGCAAACTAATTAATGCCACCTTTTGAATAGCCCTTTCCAACTCCTGGCTGGCACTTTTGAAAGCATTTTTCCTCCCTTAAAAACATGAAAAAATTTGTACAGTGTAAGAAGTGACTCTTTCGGAAACAAAGCTTGCAGATTTAGCCTGGTAAACGAGAAAAAACAGTAGCTTCGCATTGCACCGGAAGCGTTTTTTGGCCTGTTTGTATACCAGAGCCACCACATTTCAACCTGCATGATATAGAGCAAATAGAGACCATTGTTTCCTGTAAGCCTAGATACAGAAGTAACGTTTTTAGTTTGAAACTCCCACCAATCTTTTGGGCATGAATAAGCTGTTGTAAGAACACTCCTCCATTAATTAGAACACATCGCTTCAGACCCAGAACTGCATGCATTTGTGAATTCAGTTATTGTTTGGGCCCTTATGAAACATGATGACGTGCAGTGACCTTATTGAAAACACATATAAAGAGATCCATGCGGATAGGTACGAGAAGGAAGCTATAGTCGATAACAGCTTAGCAGTTTACTAGAAGCTCTTCCCACAACTTTTAACTGCCAGCTAGCAGTTAACAAGAAGTTCTGCCCACAAACGTTAAATGCCAGCTTCAGGTCCCTGCATAGTCGAGAAAATAGTACATTGCCTGCTTCGCGACACTTCCTTCAGGCAGGATTGGAGCTCACTGCTGATTGAGCAGTTGCCAACGTTGCATGAAAGCAAAGGTGGTTCCGTGACATTGCACAACGCAGAAATCAGGGCCATAAGATCTTCCCCGAAAAGATATGGCCAATGGTAGGACATGACCCTTATTCCCACAACACCTCTATGCGTGGTGGGGCGAGGCAATTGTCACTTACCTTCCTTGCCACGGGACTGACTGTGACAAGACCTGGCAAAGTTGCCAATTTCACAGATGAATAAATATTCCTTTGAAGGTGTCATTTCATTAGGCAACTTTCATTTGTTAGGTTCAGAGCAAGGTACTTGGCGATGGTGGTGCACTTGAGCTTGCTCAGACAGATCTCATGCAGCACAACACTTTGATCGTGATGAGCACATCTCGAAAGAAAACTAACTGAGAAGCAGATGGCATCGGGGTGACAGGCCAACCCCTCAGCAAGCTAAGTTGCTAAGCCTAGTACGTCTAGCTACTTGCACGTTTGATGCATTTAAAACTTCGAAGGCCGCAACCACTGCCGCAACCACTGAACCTAAACACTCTTGCACAGAAACTGCAGCATACAAAAGAATGGCTTGTGCATTTTCTCAGGATAAATGTTGAACTGATATGTTTCCCTCTATCAAACCAGGCTGAAACAGGATGTCCCTTAGCACCAGCTGCAGATTTGGACAGATGCCCCACGGAAGAACAGACAGCTGCACAAGTAAGAGAGATATTCTGGTCTACTATACCGGAGTCCTTCAATGCTTCTCTGGTCACAAGAACTTCAGGCGAAGTTTGGTACAGGGACAGAAGCTGTCATTTATTCCACCCCGATGCCACTGTCGGGGTGGCGTCAGAGGCACCACCGTCGGGTGGGGGCATGGCACGCAACAAGCCACTGCCAATGCCTCCAGTTTGTGGGGGTGGTTGCGGCAGTACCAACGCACTAGTATACTTTTTCTACCCTTCACTTGCATAGTAATTTCCATATGACAATTCCTAAAACATGCCTGCCAGGCAGGCCTGTAGCCAGGGGTGAGGCTCATGGGGCCCGGCCCCCCCCCCCCAAAATCTTCCATTTTGCTGGGACCTCCTCTCCCCCCTCCCCCTCATACAGCATTTTGTCATGAGCGGACCCCCCTGAAACAAAATCCTGGCTACGTGCCTGCTTCCAGGCACATATCCAGGGGCCTTGTGCAACTTTTGACTGGGGTGGGGCAGGGTTCCTCTCAGAATTCAGCTGGAGACAGGGTCTCCTGCTAAGCAGCCAAGCCTGCCATTGGAGCAAGCACGCACATCCTGCACATTTAACTAGAGCTGTGTGAATAATGATTCGGATCAAATAGCACTGCGACATTCATAGCCTTCATGGTGTAAAGGGAAGCCGCGCATACCAGCTGTTTTTGCAGTGTTGAAGCTAGGCATGACATTGTGCTATTCAATTAATAATAATAATAATAATAATAATAATAATAACTTTATTTCCATCAAATGATGGGGGGCCCAAAGGAAAAAAGCTGCAGTAGGCAGCTTGACTGGTCCTCGGGCCCCTTACATTCGTCAGCAGCAAGCAGGCGGAAAAAAAAAATACAAAAAAGGCAAAGTATATAGTGAAACCGTTGCACATCTCCGGTTGACATTTCTACAAACCAAGGTTCACCCAAGTACAAAAAACATAGAATGATCACGTACAAAAATATAAGCGCAGGTCTTGGAAGGTTAAACTATCAAAGTCAATATCATCAATGCTAAAACTATTTAGTAAATGTGGAAGTGTGAAATTTAACATTTGATAGCCATAATTTGTTCGTTGCGTGACCATCCTCCATTTTTCTGCGTTGCGGGTGGAATAATGTGGGCAAGTTTCCCTTAACGACGCAAGTCTTTCCAGAAAACACAATCCCCTTTTCTTTTCACTTTTAAAACTTGTAGCGAGTCTGTACTGATATAATTTAAAAATGTTAATTATTTTACAAGTCTTAAATAAATCGGCAGAGTGAAAGTCATATGGCACATTACATATTCCTCTCAATATTTTTTTCTGGAGCAAAAACAGTTTTTCTATATTAGTCATTGTGGATGTGCCCCAAACTAGAAGACAATACGTTAAATGGGAATAAAATAGTGATTTATAGAGCAACAATTTAACGTTCGTTGGTAAAACAGATCGGTAGCGATTTACGATTCCAACTACCCGAGCAAGCTTTGGAACAATATAGTTTATATGATTATCCCAGCTCATTGTCTCACTAAAAAACACTCCGAGTGTTTTGAAACAACTAACGATTTCGATGGGAGACGAGTCAAAGCGGAGAACCTTCGATATAACCAGAGACTTATTTTTTGGTCGAAATATGACGGCTTTAGTCTTATTAATATTAATTTTCAGTGAGTTGCTATCCCCCCAGCCTTTTATATTTAATAGAGTAAAGTTCGCCATATCAATTAATTCGTCACAGGTTTCACCAGAAAAAAAATGGTTGTGTCATCAGCATAAATTAGAAATTTCGCCTTAGTATTTACGTTGATTATATCATTAATGTATAAATTAAAAAGAAATGGTCCCAATATGCTTCCTTGTGGAAAGCCTGACGTAATAGATCTTACAGTGGAAGAATGACCGTTTATGTTAACATATTGCTGACGATGTCGCAAGTACGATTTTAAAAGCTGTAGGGCATGTCCACGAATGCCATAAATTTCAAGCTTTTTGAATATTACTTCGTGACTAAGACAGTCAAAGGCTTTTGTGAAATCTAGGAACACTCCTAAAACTAATTTTTTACTTTCAAAATTTTCTAAAATAAATTCTTTTTGATTAAGTAAAGCTGTCTCTGTTGAACAGTTTTTTCTGAAACCAAATTGCGAGGAAGTTATGAGGTCACATTTATTCGAGAAATCTACTAAACGGTGATAGAGTAGCTTTTCCAAAACCTTCGAAAATACGGGCAATATAGAAATAGGTCTATAGTTGCCTAAGTCATTTTTATCACTTTTTTTATACAGTACAGACACCTTCGCTACTTGCATTCTTCTGGGAAACACACAAGACTCCAGAGAAAGATTAAAAATGTAAGTTAACACGGGAGCAATTAGGTCGGCAACATACTTAATTGGGCGAATTTGCATTCCATCAGCGTCGCAGCTGCCGCTATTTTTAAGTGCATAATCACATTAGTTATTTCTGAACTAGCAATTGACTCTAAAAATATAGATCTACAGTTTCTTTGACAAATATATTTACATGAGTCATTAGTGTCGGCAATACTAGATATATTTACAAAATATTCATTAAACACATTTGCCAAATCTTGGCCAGTTAAACTTACACCTTTGTACTGCAATGTTTCAATAAAGTTTGGAACAGGAAACCCCTTAACCATCGAACCAAGATGCTTCCATATTACGTCAGTGCGACCATTTGCCGACGAGAAAAGGGAAGAATAATAACATTTCTTGGCATTCCTTAGCTCCTTAGTTAAGCCGTTTCGATAAGACTTAAATTCCTTAAGAGCATCTGGGTTGCGTGTCTTAACGAACCGTTTGAATAGTATATCTTTCTTACGAATTTTTTTTTATCAAAGTGGGCGTTACCCACGGTTTACGAATCTTTTTTGATATTTTTACGGATTTATATGGAAAGTGAAGTTTATACAGCTTTAGAAATTGTTCTAAAAATAAGTTATAGGCATAATCAACCGTTTCTTGCGTAAGCACCGTATTCCAATCTACAGCTGCGATGTCTCGTCAGAAAGCATCGAGGCTATTTTTATCAATACTTTAGAAAATCGCAGGTTCGCATTTCGTTAGCTTTCGAGATATATTAAGCTCAACACACAAGAAAATGGGAAGATGGTCACTCAAGTCACAACTTATAACTCCACTGTTCAGTCGATCTGTATGAAAATTGGTTATAAACAAATCTAAAATGGTTTTAGACTGTAAGGTAACTCTTGTAGGATCGACTATCGTGTTGACACATCCATACATGTTAAGTACGTTCTCCATTTCCCTTTTAGAAACACTGTCAGAAGACATATCAATATTAAAATCACCCCCACAAATGACGTTATATTGACTTTCATTTGTGAACATCAAAAAAGACTCAAGAAATGCAAAAAAAGATGACATACTACCGTCCGGTGGGCGATAAAAAACCGCGAAAATATTTTGATTATTACGTAAGCACAATGCTTCCACATCTTTTGTGATAAGAGAATAATCACTTAGTAGTTCACATTCAATACCCTTTCTAATCAAGATTGCCAATCCTCCGCTTCGCTTTAAAGTACGATTTAAAACATGCGTATCATGGGATGGTAAACTAAAAATATCCGAGTCATTTTTATACCAGGTCTCGGTAAGCATTACGATATCAAAAAGAACACCGAACTGATCAAAAAGCGATTCAAGGTCTGTTTTTTTGTTAACTGCGGACTGCGCGTTTAAATGAAAACACTTTAAATGTGAACTACATTTTTTCTCGAGGAGAGCCGTTACTTCAACAGGAAGTAGTGGCTGAAAAGAAGTACTCTCTGTCATTGGAAAAGCCATTTTGAGTTTATTTGTGAAAAAATAATCTAAGCATCATCAAATATGCAACTACGACGGAATGTTTTGCAAATCTTCATCACTCCTGACCACAAAGGCATTGTCACCATCTCTGCGCCTAACAAAGATTTTACCATTTTTGTGCCACACATACAAGAAACCTTTTCCTTTTGCCCAGTCCTTAGCCTTGACAAGCAGTTCTCGATTTTGTTTTGTCAGGTTCTCGTTGATGTACACTTTCTTTCCACTTGCTCTTAGCCTTTTTTTACGGTCCAACCACGCGTCCCATGTTGTCTGAGAGGCAAACCTGACAATAATACCTGGAATCTTGTCGGGCTTTGACGGCAGTCGGTGGATTGCTGTGATGTCAGTTCCAGTCAGCTCGGGTATTTCTAGCGCTGGCGCGACCTCATTCACTTTGCTCATTAGATCTTCGTCTTTAGTTTTTGGAATACCGTGGAATTCCAAATTAAGCTTCCGACTTCTCCATTCAAGGTCATGGAGCTCCAACTTTAACTGGCTGAGTTCCCTCGTTTCGTCTCGCTTCTCGATTTCTTCAACTCTAGATTTGAGAATTTTAATTTCTTTCTTATGTTCCGTGACGGTTTTCAGAATCTCATCGTATTGTGCCGACATCATGTTGACCGACGCTTCAATGTTTCACTCTGTTTCCTTCAGATCTAGTAGGTTATCTAGTTTTGAGTTCATGGACGCCAACATTGTCCATATGGCGTCATCGGGTGTTTGCTTATTGGACGCACCGCCTTTCAGTTTCGAAGCTCGGCAGGTGGGGCACTTCCAAGCTTTGCGATATGACTCGCCTTTTGTTCTCAGTGTCGCTTCAGAGATTCCCGAACAACTTCCGGGGTGATACGAATATCCGCAATCATTACATGAAATCGATTGCTCATCGGAGATCTCTTCTTGACATTTAAAACATATCAGCTCAGTCATTTAAAAAAAAAAGTGACAATTGCCTAAAAACCGGCACGACACCACAGGCAGCAGCAGCGACAGAGCAAAATAATGTCATAAGCAAAGTAAGCAACGACAACCAACCTGTAAGGGCATACAGGAACAGAATTAATCCGTGTACTCACACACCTAGTACATTTGACACTCTGAAGGCAGTGTGACAGCTGAACCTCTAACTTTCTCGCACAGACACTT